CAAAGCAGTGAAAATCATTAATAGGCAATCATTCGATGGGCTGAGTTGCACAAAACGCATGATCGCACTGGCTAGTCTGGTGCGCGTTGCTATTTATTCTGATTTTTTCCCCATGCAGTTAATCTTGATAATGGTTACTAAGGTGAAAGAACAGTTCCCTCATTTCCTTAAACTTTGTTTTCTGGACAAGTCAGTAACCGTTACGATACATTTAACTTGCAGTTTTGGTTTTTTAAGTAAAAGTAAAATTAAAATGTAGTCGTGCTCGCAAATTCTGAGCATTTTCATAACATCCTTGTAATAGTCTTTATGCGAGGCATCCTAGCACCGTTTTTCTTTTTTTTTTGACGAACACTGCAGTCAGGGCCCAAAAATATAAAAAGAAGAAATGAGTGGGGCGAGTTGTGCCTGTCAACACATTTTTCCCATTCAGCTTCAGCACATGAAACTGCCGGAATAGGAAGGATTGTTAACAAATTGATAAAAAATAGATGGTTGATTGGGATGCGACGGCAACGGCAACAGCAGCTAATGGAGGTGAATTATCATCGGATAGCCAGGCGAATGTCGCTGTTATGGATGAATTACGTGAAGCTCTTGCGATGGTAACTGAAAAGACGAATGAGTGTGAGAAGCTGCGTCGGCTGAAGGCTGAACTTGAGAAGGAAGTAAGTTCTAAGGCAAATCGTTCTCTAGCTAGGGAGTTTGTGGGATGAATTGAATTCTGATCGATTTTGGAATGCTGCCCTTAGTGAACAGTGAGCTGTTTTGGTAAACTGTAGCTTGAGCTGCGCCAAACATGTATTGATGAACTGATGGTACAGATGAACGTTATGCAATCGCAGCAGAGTATCCATGCCGAAAATTACACGCAGCTTCATGACTGGGTTTGTATTCTTCTTCCTTTCCTACAGTTTGTAACCTTTACGTTTTTACTAAATTTTGCTAGGTTTGTATTACTAGAATACAAACAGTAGATACAGCTGTGCCTTTCCTCGACCTCTGTTTTTGATTACACGCATCTGCCTGATGCATGCATGAAGTGACCATTCTTTTTACTCGTTTGTCATACTTGTTAGGAAA